CTATCTTGGTTCGGAGAGATGAGGTCAGGCCCCTGAGTGCTGAGTTCACTCCAGAGACGGAGCGGCAGCGGATCCAGCAGCTGGTAGGTGCCCTTGGCTGAAGGGGACACTGTGCAAGTCCCAATGCCTGGGCCTCCAGGGTGCCCAGGAGGGAGGCTGACCCTAGCTGGGCCTCGACTTTCCCCCCTGCCCAGGCTTTTGTGTACCCCGAGCTCCTGGCCGGGGAGTTCACCCGCCTGGAATTCCCTCGGAGGCTGAAGGGAGACGACTTGGGGCAGAAGGTTTTGTTCCGGGATCATCACATGAGCGGCTGGTGAGTAGAGCGGGCGGGGGTGGGGGTGGGGTTCCAGGTCGGGGCAGGAGTATTTGATGGTCTGGGTGCCGGGCCCTGGGCTGGGCTGAGCTGATGCGGGGTGCTTTCCCCGGTAGGAGTTACAAGCACGTGGAGAAGTCGGATCTCAAGTACCCACTGATCCATGGGCAGGGTAGGCAGGTCAGCACCTGGTGCCTCCTCCAAGGGACCCTTAGTTGGCCCCTGCAGAGGTGGGAGCTCCTTTGTCCCCTGCTGGTGGCTGGTGTCCTGGGGTGTTCCCCTCCAGCCCTAGGCTCCTGAGCCCCCCCCCCTTCTCCCCAGGTAAGGCCTGACCTGTGGGCATTCTGGGTGTCCTCGGGCTTCTTGCTGTACCACCTCACACGCCTCTGTCCTAGGCCCGGCTACTAGGGACGCTGGCCGTGTCACGGGGCCTGGGGGACCATCAGCTCAGAGTTCTGGACACAGACATCCTGCTCAAGCCCTTCCTGCTCTCTGTCCCACAGGTGAGGCCCGCGGCCCACCCAGACAGGTGGGAGAGAGGTCGGGGTGGGGTGAGCCAGGAGGGGAGGAGCTGAGGGTCCACGGGCTTTGCTCGCAGGTGACCGTGCTGGATACGGGCCAGTTGGAGCCACAGGAGGAGGATGTGGTTGTCATGGCAACGGATGGGCTCTGGGACGTCCTGTCCAATGAGCAGGTGGCACGGCTCGCACGGAGCTTCCTCCCTGGCAAGCGGGAGGACCCACACCGGTAACGTGGCTGGACGGGGACGTGCTTGGGCCTAGGCTTGCGATTGGGTCTGGCACCGGCTCACAGGGGTGGCGGGCCTCAGGGCTGTCCCAAGCTGACCCATCGTTCCTTCCCCAGACCTCTGGGTGACTCTGGAGTCTATCCTGTGGCCTCAGGCTTGTAACTGGCCCAGCCCACAGTCCCAAGGGGCTAACCCTGTGCAGGAGGCTCTTCCTGAGGGCTGGCTCTGCCCATCCGACCTGCATCTGCAGAGTGGTCCATCCATCCCCACAGGTTCTTGGAGCTGGCCCAGATGCTGATCCACTGTACCCAGGGAGCTGGGGACAGCCCCCCGGGAGAAGGGCAGGTGTCCTACGATGACGTCTCTGTGTTTGTAATACCCTTGCATAGTCAGGGCCATGGAAGCAGTGGCCACTGACGACTTGGGCTGGACACAGCATCCCAGGACCCTCCTGCCTTGTCCCCAGCCACAGTCTGGTCCTCTGCCCCTCGCTCCCGTGCACCTCCATTCCAGGGCAGCGTTTATACAGGCAGGTCAGAGCTGGATGTGGGCCGGGCTGGGCGCTGCTGGTTCACCAGGCAACCCCTGTATGGCCGGGCAAGCACGCTCCTGTCAGTAAGGTCCCTGGGGTGGAGACTCCAGACACAGACTCCTCAACAGCCCACAGCTTTAGCCCCAGACACTGGGCTCAAGGTACCAGCCAGAAGAGACAATCAGGCCCAGGTTTCCCGCCCACAAATGTCCAGGCAGGACAGGAACCTTAGGGCAGCTTGAACGGGCATCTTGAAGACAGCCTCTCCTCCACAGGAGGCAAGGCCCAGGGTCTGGGGCTCGCAGGGCCAAGCCAAAGGGGGCATGCGGCTCGGGCCCTGATGCCCCACTGGTACCTCTGCTTGTTGCCCCCATCACCTATTAAATGGCTTTGTGCAGAAACAGCCCTGCTGGATTGTGGACATCTTTGTGCTGTTGGCTCTTCCTTTGAGCCCCTTGGTCAGGGCTGTTTGTTCTGCTCTGGGGTCCTCCCCAGTTCTCAGCTTGGCTCCCAGTGAGTGCCCCACTTCCTCACCCCGTCCCTCTGGAGGAAATGGTTGCCCAGGGAACAGAAAGGCCTCCACCATTAGCTGTGCGCTCCCAGGCTTGAGGTGACAGGTGAGTTGGGTCCTTGGGGTTGCTGTCAATTGGAACCTGAAAGGCTCGGGCAATCAGGAGGTAGTTGCTGAATGACCCACCTGCCCCGCAGGCTTGCACTTCCTCCAGGTGGCCGAGTTGAATTCTTGGCTCACACCTCTAGCCTGCACCCAGGAAGGAGACCCAGTAGGTCCCAGATCTGACAGCCAAGCGTCTATACTTGACCCATCCGGGCAGCTCGCTGAACCTCCCCTCCCCACATTCTCCAGGGAAGGGAAAACTTCCAAAACACTTCCCATTTTCACACAGCCCGACTTCAGACCTGCACCTGTTCTCAGCTGCGTCCTGGCAAGCTGGTGGTGGGGGCCCTGGGATCTCTGGGCAGCCTCTCCTGGGCTCCACCCTTAGACCTCAGCAAAGCGGGGGCAGTCCTGGGTCTATCTCATCCACAGCCCCCCAACTGGCCCCCTTGGCTTGCCTACCGAACCCACTGCCTGTGCTTGCTCCTCACACCCTGAGGCTCCTAACTGCAAGGCCCCCCAACGAGGGGGTAGTTGCAGGGCAAGACAGGCATTTGCTCGTGGAGCACCGCCCCCAGCAGCCTCCCACCCACCCGTTGTCTCGGATTCTGGTTGTGCCCAGGAAGCTGACTAACCCCAGGGGACAGCTGCGGGTAGAGGGCTGGGCTTTGCCCCAGACCTGGTGCACGAGCCAGAGAAGCCCCCACTCTGGCTCTCCGGGTCTTGCTGGCCAATGTGGACCAGAGGAAATGGCCTGGGGCTAGGAGCAGCCGGGGTGTGGCAGGTGTCGATGTGAAGGTGAAAGGTGGCTTGGGCAGCTTCTCTCCATCCCTTGGTCCTGGCTGCTCTGGGAGAGTCTAATGGCGGAGAGCCAGGGGCGGTGCGTGCAACAGCTGCATCACCACAGCAAGTCCCAGTGACCCAGGAACCAGCCCACCTGCCCTTGCAAGCCCCTCAACTCAGGAAGAGGCTGGACCCATAAAATGCAGCACAAGACTAACGTGGAAAAAATGTTTATTTGTTAAGTACAAAAGGGACATAAAATTGTATGTACAGCAGAGTAACAACTATGTAAACACACCAAAAACTATGCACCAAGATGTCTAGATAACATTTAACACCACAAAGTCCAATCGCGGTAGCATTTGGGTGGCAAACTGACTCTTCTACAAATTCCCAAGTCTGTCTTAATAAACATTGTGATTGTTAACAGGGAATGACTTTCTCAAATACTGCTCTGGGTGGTGGTTGAGCGGGCGGTAGTGTTGCTGCCACATCTTGCAGGGGTTCTGGCCCGGTTCTGGGGAGAGCTGAGTGGTCCTGGCTCCTGGACAGCACCCAGGCAAGGCTCGAGTCACTGCCCCTGCACTCTGCTGTTGCACCACCCAAGGGTGCCAGCCTCCCCCCCCCAACTCCAGAGCACAGAAGGGGACAGTTAGCCCCCCCGTCACTTGGCCCATTTGTGCAGACACAGAAGCAGAGACGGACTAACTGCCTCGAAGGTGCCTCCACGCAGGCACACCACCACCCTTTACCTGCTTAGATGTTTGGGAATTACAGATAACATGCCACCTGGCCAGCTCTGGAAGGTCAAGAGCCAACTTCTGCTTGTCTCAACCTGCTCCCTTCCCTTTCCCAAAGGAGGCACAGGAAAGCAGCAGGTCCGCCCCCTGGCCCCAACTGCTGCCTGCCAGCCAGACATAGGCAGCATTCGAGAGTGACAGTCACGTACACACAGGCGCAGACAGGGCCACTGGGCAGAGGGCTAATACTGCAGAGGGCCCAAAGTGCTGTTGCAGGAACGAGGGAGTCACCCCCGACCCTCTCACTTAGCTGCCATGGAAACAGCAAACACCTGAAGCTTTGCTTCCCGGCGTTTCCTGAAGGAAAGTGGTGACGGGAAGACGCACGAATACTTGAGGCCAACACTATCAGCAAGGAGCCGGCTCTCCTGGCTGCAGACACCTCGACTCAGAGGAACTGCCATTATACGGATATCAGGTTCCATCACATCCCTAAATATACATACATACATACATACATATATATGCATAAGGGAGCTTCACGAAGTTCATGGTAAAATGGGGTTGAAAGACAATGGGCTTTCCCCACAAACTTTCTGAAGCCCCCTCCAATATATATAGTGTGTGTTTATGTATGTGTCTTTGTGTGTGTGTGTGTGTGTGTGTGTGTATATATGCACGTGTGTTCGCACCCCTTATGGAGATTTAGATAAAGGAGCACACAGTGCTAAAATACAACCAGAAGTCCAAGGTCATATGTAAAAAGGTTAAAGAGAACATATAACACAGGCCTAGAACCAGCTCTTGGCTGGGGAGCTGGGAAAGGGGTGGGCACCACCTGGAGGCTATGTACAGTCTGGTGGGCAGGCAAGCATCAGTGTAAACAACTCAGACTCACTCCACAGGACTGGCCGCCACAGAACGCGTGCTGGGTCTAACACCTACACTCACCTTGCATTTGCACACAGCCGGGCTCTCGAGGACCCAGCGTCTGTTCGGGTGACGGGGGAACTAACTGTGTGCAGAGCTGCTGCTGCACCACCCAGCCCTGGGAACTCACCCCCCAACTCCGTGCAGGCTCAGACCCCCCCACCCCCACCCCCTTTACCCGAGTACCTGCACAGCTGCTTGGGAAGCAAGATCTTTCTGTAACTGTACATACCGTTTCTCTGTCTCTTCAAGAAATGTGAAAACTTATTTCTGCAAATGTTTGGCACCCAAGAAAGATGATGGCTGTGGAACAGTCACGGCGACCAGAGACCCAGGAACAGGACATGCAGGGCCGAGGGCTGAGCTGCCCTCGCATCTCAAAACCCAAACTGCAGCTTCCCATGCATCGAAAGGGGGGGTGTGTGTGTGTGAGGGGGGGGTAGACGTGTGCACGATGAACAACTTCACCGGCGCCTCAGCAGCAAATACATTCAGCGTTGAAGGCGTCGTGAGGGCCGTGCTAACTCCATGAGTCTGCTCTCTCCTCGGGAGGACGCGGCGCCGGGACAGCTGGGAAACCGGAGTCTCCATGAGTCTGTCGCACCCAGAGTCTTTCTGAAGGAGTGTGGCACAGGGGCTTCCCCCACAGCACATTCATGGGAAGGCCAGGTGAGAGGATGCTCTCCAGCCCAGTAAAGTAATCTAATCCCAGTCCCCTTTGAGGTGGGCCTTGCTGGACCCCTCAGTGCAGCCAGCTGAGCAGCATCAGGTCAGTCATCAATGGTGGGCAACCAGAAGGCCTGGAAGGAGAACAGGGTCGAGGTAAGAGACCCACGCCTCCCTCCTGCTCCGGAGGGCCGCAGAGGCCATGCCCAGGGCCAGGGAGGCTCTGACAAGCTACAGAAGACAGAAACACGCGGGTCAGCTGCTTCCGCCTTCCACCAGTGGGCAGGGAAGGGCAACGGTGAGGGAGAGAAAGGCCTACGAGGTGGGGCCTGACTGAGCTGGCCTCGCTGCTAACCTGAGCAGTTTCCACAGACCCAACAGAAAGCTCTGCTGCATTTCTTCTCACAGTGTTTGCTGGGCTTTTAAAAGGGACGTGGGGAATAGGGTTTGCAGGGTGGGATGGCAGTAGAACAGAATGCCCTATCCCCAAATCTCGAGGAGATCTGATCCCAAGAGGACACTGGAGCACTGACTCTTTGTTGGGATAGTGCTGCCTCGGCCTGAAGGAACTTCTAAGTCAGCGGTTCTCAACCTTCCAAATACCACGACCCTTTAATACAGTTCCTCCTGTTGTGGTGACCACTCTCCCCAACCATAACATTATTTTCATTGCTACTTCATAACTGTCATTTTGCTACTGTTAAGAATTGGGTGACTCCCGTGAAAGGGTCGTTTGACCCCCAACAGGGTTGCGACCCACAGGTTGAGAACTGCTGTTCTAAGTGGTGAGTGATGATGAACTGTGAGAATTTCTGAGGACATCAGCGTAAATGGAAAGAAACAGTAAGGTGGCTGCACCACAAATGGCTGGCCAGTTCAGAGGGCTTTAAGGAGCTAAGACAGCTGTGGGATGTGGGTCTAAGTCAGCTGAGGCTAAACTACGCCCAGGAGCCAGAGGGAACGCTGGTCTGTCTCCCAATCAGATCCTAGGCAGCACAGTACCCATCAGAGGCCAGTCCAACCAGAAAGAGGGGGAAATACAGATCTCGGGGCTCAAGACATCTCTATCTAATATTTAGAACACAGCTTGTTGGACCCTCAAGGTACACCCCACCCCTGTTGGTTCACATACCATGTTGGAACATGCACTGGCAAAGGTCATGAACTTGGGGTTGAACTGCAAACAGGTGATGGGCCCTGTGTGCTTTCCATCCAGCACAGCGACTTTGATACCACTCTCCCCGTTCCAGACGTGGATCTTCCCGTCCTCTGACCCTACAGAGAAGGACCAAGGAAAAGGGGACAGTTCAGGGCACACAGCAGGAAGGAGGCAGAGGTTAAGGTTAGAAAGACGCTGAACTTTAGGAGCCAGCCCTCAGCAGAAACTGAAGGAGGTGTGGGGTGGGGGCGCGAGGCCCAGTGAGAGAGGAGTTCAGGCCTTGTTCTTGACCCTCTTGGTTCCCGGCAAGCCACTTCTCTCGGTTCTCTCATGTAAAGGGGCGGGACTCCACTTACTCCGCAGTTTGGATGCAGAGTTGTCCCAGAGAGCCAGCATCACCAGTCAGTGGGTGCTGGTGGGGTAACAGTCCCCGAGAAGGCCGTTCACACCAGCAGTCCCCAAACAAAAGCCCCGGAGTCAGTGCAGGGCAACCACTGTCTTCGGCCTCACATGAAATAGAAAGCTAGAAGCTGGACAGTGCATAGTCAGCATGTAATTTATCAAATGAGAGTTAACAAAAACCTCAAGTGAGCAGTAGCACGCCACTAGGCCCAGGGGAGAGGAAGCTCACCAATCATAATGAACTGGGAGTCTGGAGTGAAGGAGGCCTCCATTGTGACAGCCTTGCTGTTGGCGTAGCCCTAGAACAGAGCAGAGCAGGACAGGGCCGCTAGCAGACACCGAGCGAGGACCCACACCAGCCCCTCCTGCTCCCACTCCCACTCCCGGAGCACGGCACCACCAAGGTTCCGAGTATGTATGGCCACTGCCCTACTCTCTGCCACCTCCCCGCTCCTCTGCACCCAAGGGAAACCATGTGGAGGCAGCGAGCGTGCACAGGGACACCTGCAGACTCCAGCTCACCCCAAATGTGTGCATCACCACCCCCTTGAACGCGTCAATAAGGCGGATGAAACTGCCATTGGTGGAGAGAAGGATGAGTTTGCCATCGTTGCTGAACTTCAGTCCTGTCCACTCACAAGTCCGATCGTACTGCATTTTGAAGGTAGCAAACGGCCCCTGTGAGAGACGGAAAACACAGCGCATGAACAACTCCTCCTGCAAGAACCAAGCCCCACGCTGTCCCTCAGAGTCCTTTCTGGCTAGAGAGAGCAGAGAGTGAAGTGCAGCCCTGCCCCCTCTAGTGCCCACCACATAGCTCCTCCTCTCACCTCACAAGGCAAAGGCTCTGGACTACCCATCTCACCCCTGAACAGGTCCACGTCAAGACCGCTTGAAGGGTCAGAGAATTACCTTATCAAAGGACCGGAGATCATAGAGTTTGACCATTTCAGAATTGACACCTGCAGCAAAAATTAACCCTTCTGGATCAAAAGAACAAACTGGCTTGCCCTGTAAATGCATGAGGCCCTAGTGGGGGAAAAAAGACGAAAAGATGATGAATCCAGGATCGTGAAACCGTGTAATTTACTTTTACCAATACAATCTACATAAGAAGGGCTAAGAACAAGAGACCAGTCTACTTACAGAAGGGATAATGCAAACAAAAACTAAAATGAAGTTGAAAAAAAAACCAGGGTCCCCACATTCCATACCGTTGATTTCAGACCACCCTAACTGCACAAGAGTACAGTGAGTTCAAGTAAAAATGTAACCCCCCTGGCCGCCAAGCACTGCAGCTCCAAAGCTAGAGGACAGGAAGCCGCAGAGCATAGTGCCGTCCTCTGGAGAACAGGCTTTCTCCATCATGAGAAGACCCTGGGGTCCCAGGAGGGCCCAGCCTGTCCCCTTCCCAGGAGCCAGCGCTGATGACAGTGCTGCCACAGGAAGTGCTCGGAACGTGTGACGGAGGCCGTTACCTGGCAGTTAGGAGAGCGAAGATCCCAGAGTCGAATGGTCTTATCAAGAGACCCAGAAATGAAAGTGTCATCCACAGGTGACATGGACAAGGCCACCACCCTGCAATGCATCAAGATAGATAAGAATTAAAGCAAAATATTAGTAAAAAATGGATGTGAGCGCTAACCATTCTGCCTATCTATAGCAGTGGCAGCTAGTATCATGGAAAAATCAACTTAACACTATAGTACAAACCCGTCTGATTCTCGGGCAACACATACCCCCCACCCCCACTCGAGCAAACTGTAATCAGAGACAGGCGGCATCCCGTGTTGGTGAGCACTCAGGGAAATCAGAAACCCCCGATGCTGCTGGCAGAAAAGCCAAATTGTGCAGCCACTTTGGAAAAGTTTGGTTGTCCCTCAAAACAAAAAACACAGAGTTAGCCTGTGACCTGGCAATCTCACTCCTAGATACCAACGAGGGCTAAGAATTATGCTTACACGACAATCTGCACAGCCATGTTCAAAGTAGCATGACGCACGGTCGTCAGAAAGCAGAAACCACCCAATGTCACACAGCAGGTAAATGGGTCACACAGAACAAGGTCCGTCCACACACGGGGAAATGCGTGGGAAGTACAAGAGGAATGACATGCACAGTGGGCCAACTTTCAGCCAAACCACAGTCAAGTCCATAAAGTACACAAGACGGGGGGTGGGGTTCCCCCAAACAAGGGCAGCAGCTGCCCCCAATCCAACAAACCACATGTGCTGCCGACTCACAGTGACCCCACAGGGCAGTGAACTGCCTTGGTGGGACTCTTTACAGGAGCAGAAAGCCTCCTGAACTGCTGACCTTCCTTGCACCTGAGCAGCCCACTGTGTAATGACTCCGCCACCAGGTAGGACAAATGGAGCTGGGGTACCCAGGGAGGAAGTGTGACCAGTGCTGTTCCACCCAGGGGGTTGCAGTGAACAGAAAACAAATGTCTCTGTAAACTTTCATCCACACTGTGGAAACAAGTTCAAAGAAAGGACGAAATGCTGATTCAGACCGCAGAGTGGGCTCAGTCACCGAGTGGAAGACGCCACGAGTCCACACTGTGTGGCAGACCCAGCAGACAGTCCACAATCGGCATGGTTGCCAAGGGGCGGAGAGGGGTGGGGATGACTGGGAATGGTCTCAGGGCCTCTTTTTGGATAGAAATGCTCTGGAATGTAGTCATGATGGCTGCCCAACCCTGAGTGTGCTGAAGATCACTGAAGGGCACCCTGTGAGTGAGGCAGTGGTGTGTGGACTAGAGCTCAGCGGCAGGAGGCAGGTGAGGCCTCACCGGGAGGTTTGCAGACTCTGCCCACGAGTGGGGCCTGCAGTTAGAAGGTGGCAGTGAGGGGCTGCAAGTGTGAGATCATGGTGGGGGGCAATGACAGCAGGGCAGAACAATGGAACCAGAGGCTCTGTACTGCACACAAAAACCACTCCAACAGTGGAATGAGCGCTTTCACGAGAACCCACATCAAACCAACCAGACTTGTGGACTGCACCCCTGAGCTGCTGGGACCCAGAACCTGTGCTCTCACTGAGTGCTGGGGCACTGCTGGCCCAGGGACCTCACTCAGAGGGACAGGTCTGTGCAGACAGCAGCACATTTACTTACGACAGGGCCACACCACCGGGGCCTCCAACACGAACAAGGCACCAGCGCTCACCCGCGCCAGGTTCTCACCGTAAATAATTTAAAGCTACCACTAAAGCGGGAATGCCCCGACGTGCTGAGGTGGCAACACCAGTGAACACAACGCAGATGAAGATGCCATTTTATACCACGGCATTCAGCTTAGAGGGCAGAGGAAGTATGTGGTACAAGGCTCTGTGCTGAGACCGCCCCACCCCATGCAAGTTCTACTGTGTGGTTCAGACAACTCCCAGAGGGTCAGGAGAGGCTTTGAGTGGGACAGGACAAGGTTTCAGTAAGAGGCACCATTCTAGAAGTTAACAGACAAGAAGGCATGAAGCCCATGTTCGGGAAGCTGCCCAGAGCTTATCTCAACTGGAGCGACTGGAGGAAATGCTGGCACATGAATCCAAGTCAAAGGGGACAGATCTGGGCTCCAAGGGGAAGGACTGACGGCCGTGGAGAACCCCCAAGGCTTCCCGAGCAGGGTGGCAAGTGAGGATGCACCCGAGGAGTCCACTCCGTGCCATGGAGTGGATTTGGACTCAGAGGGCCTGGCAATTCAAGGCTGTGAGGGCGAGGCAGGGTGGGGGGTGCCTGGTGAAGAGGACAACGGAAGGAGCAGCAGGAGGAGGACAGACAGGAGCTGGCGCCTAACAGCGGGGCGCAGGCTCGGGCCAGGGAGATGGGGTGAAGGTGGACAGCGAGGTGATATGTATTAATACCTGTGTGTGGAAGGTGATTTTTGGAAGTCAGGGCAGACGTGGCCCAAAAATACTGATTTGGGAAGCCATCTGAGTAGAGGTGAATGAAACCGGGAAGGAGATATCTGAAAAAGTGCTGGGGTGGGAGTGGAAGGCAGGGAGGAGACCGGACACACCAAGATAGATGCTTCATCTCTTCAATACTTTAGAGTCAAACGGAGAAAGTGGGGCCAAGGACAGTAAGAACAGAACTAAGAAGGGACAAGTTCGCCACAAAGGAAAGTGAGTTTGACCGAGAGTCAGCCTTAGCTCACGCCCATGACAGATTTTCTTTTTTCTTTAACAGTAGATTTTCACTGGAGGTAGGAGAGGGGAAGGACAGGGCTTTGGGCTTCCAAGGAGAGTTGTAACAGAGATCAGAAGTGATTTAAACAGTGACGTGGAGTGAGGCGGTGAAGAAGGGGATGCCATGTGAAGGTCAACCTCTTCAAGTCTGACCGTGATGACCACACCTAGAAATAGGTCTACAATCAAGAAGACCATGTAGATATGTAGTAGGCAGCAAGTGATTTAAACAGTGACGTGGAGTGAGGAGGTGGAGAAGGGGATGCCATGTGAAGGTCAACCTCTTCAAGTCTGACCGTGATGACCACACCTAGAAATAGGTCTACAATCAAGAAGACCATGTAGATATGTAGTAGGCAGCAGGGGAGGAGCCAGTTAAGAAGATGGGAGCAAGGAGGAAGCCAGAGGTAGGTTTTGCCAAGGAAGAGAGACTACTTCGCTATCAAGGAAAGGATTCCAAGGGAGCAATTTGGGAGAAAAGGATAGAAGTTGAAAGGAAAGAATTTCAACACACTGTTGTTAACCCTTATGTACAGACAGTACATTTGCGAACATTGATTTGACCAGCAGAACATCTATCTATCAAAGCTGTCCTCTGTGCGGACCACACAGTGACCCACACAGGAAGGTCCTGCCCGGCCAGTGCAGCCACCCCCCCTCCAGCAAGCCACATTGGATTACGATACACTCACATGTGAACGCAGGGAGAAGCCCCCCAAATAATGTACAGGGCACCCAGTCGGGGAGGTGTGCCTAACATTCACCCAAGAATTGAAAATTGGAGGAAAAAAATGCCAGGCAATGGGAGGACGGGAGATGGGGGCGGAAAGACGCAACCTGCAGTATAGTATAGTATAGTATAGTATAGTATAGTATAGTACAGTATAGTACAGTATAGTACAGTATAGAAGAGAGAAACAGGTTTCTTGTCTTTCAATCGGCACCAAGTCTGCCAAGTGGGATGTTTCTTTATGGAAGGTAGGGGCTTGCAGAATAGGAGCCGCCTTTCCCAAAGCCTTAGAAGAGGGGGCTTCAAAGAAATTCATGGGAAAACAGAAGTGAAAGGGTGGAATTTCTCCAGGAACGTTTCCCCCCTCATAAAACTTTGCTTTTCAGCAAGAGACATTTGAGGCGTGGGTTCTTAAACCCCGAATATACTCTATAATTACAATAGTTCTTCACTCCATCTTTAAGTCCACATCCTTCCTCATTATGTTTTTAAAATGATCTTCGCTTATCAATGCACACCTGTCAGCCTTCTCACCTGAGCTCATCGGGAGCTGACCTGTTTCCACTGCGCTGACCCCACCAGCGTGACCCTACAGGGACACAGCAGACTGCTCCACAGCATTTCTGAGGCTGTACAATGCCAAATCTTTCACCAGAGGGGCGGCTGGTGGGTTTAAACAGCCAGCTTCTTAGCAGCCCAATGCTTAATGCACCGTGCCACGAGGACATCTCACGGACTCCTTACTGAGAGGAGGGCAAACGAGAGGCCTGAGAACAGGTCCCAGAGAGCC